GAGTGGAAGATAAAAGTGGATATAAAGATATGAAATGAGAATGAGTTAAAATGTGACGACTCCTTCACTTGTTTTCTTCTCTTGTTATTTTTAAAAGCATCTCGATATCGCATTTAACCGATAAAGACGACCTACTCAAATTTAAAGTGCTTCGGCATATTTAACGCAAAATACACGCAATGCCACACATTAATTCGATTGACTTTTTATTTTCGCTGACATTTAAACACGAATAATCGTAATAAACTTGCAAATACAAATAATATTTTACAATACTCTTGCAAATTATTATCGTATTAGCAAATTTGACACTTGTGAATTATTCTGAAAAATTGAGTTATGACATTATTATTGATTCCAAAGTGCCATTAAAATAATTTTGTAAATCTCCATTGTAAACATATTGTGTGATGTATTATTAAGTAATTTGTAAAATCCAATGCCAATGTTTGGTGAGTCAATGTTTTTCATCTTCAATTCACATAACCGATGACTGCAGCTAAAAACATCGATTTATCGTTCATTTAAAGTACGGCAAATGAAAAATATGGTAACCTTTCTGATAGCTTCCTCGTAGAAACTTCTCTTATCATTATGGCATTATAAAATCCTTGTACATTCGAGACAATTTTTATTACTTGTACGAGTACACCTAATTCCTTACAAAGCACCTTTCCATATAAACGAAAGATCGTGGTACAATTACTTATTGCATTAAAGCGTATATGTACAGATCATCTGCGATAGCGATTATAAAATATATATATATATATATATGTATATATATATATTTTTTTTTTTTTTTTTAAAGCTACGTACTCTCTACCTCTCAACATTCTTAGCAGCGAATAATCATTGTTAATCGGCAACATTTTACGATGTTTAAACGTAGCGTTAAAAGCAAACTATTTAATTGAGAGCCACGACGATTGAAAAGGACTTGGTTGAGTGAACTATGGTTTTGTCGAGCCTTTGAGCTTCGAGGTTTACAGAATTATAATAATAAATGTGTAGCAGGGACAGTGTAGTTATGCGTGTATCATTGGCCATTGCTTGTAGATAGAGAGGTGAAAGCCGTTGGGAAATTATTATCTATTCAGGACAAGAAGGTTTGCCGCTGAAGTTATCCAATCTGAAGTTATCTGGATTGCCAGAGGCATTGAAGAAGAAAGTCACTTTTCTCTTATAGCAAAGAGCCACTTCGATTTGAGCGAAAATTTCGAGTGCCAGAGTGCTGCCTTCGATTAAAATGAAAAATAAAGAATAATAATTTCGGAGCATAAAAAGGGTGAAAATTTTTCAACTCTAATATGACAAATACGCAAATTTTTACGTAAATAATACAGATGTCAATGTGACAATGTGACGATATTGCATATCGTTTCACGATTAGCTTTGCCTAGAAAATGTCATGAAAATTATTGACAATATACTGTCAATGACAATGTCCCGACAAAGTCCCATATCTATAAATAAATGGACACGAGAAATTTATCACTAACGACTAAAGTGGCTATTATTCAATGCTTTAAACAAATGTCGAATTCGAGATTTCTCCATGGAAAATTATCAATATCAACGACACGCTATCGTATAAAACACATGGAAATTATATCTTTTCAAAAAACATGTATCTTGATTTAAATGTATTAACATTTGCAATTTGCCGTGTCATATCGACGTTGAATATTGTTCGTCGATAGGGTCAATCAATCGATTGACAATCATAATCATTTGAGTAAAAATGTGAAAGTTAAATTTTTGAAGGTTTTAGGTAAATCAAGTGAGAATAATAGTTAGATAAATAGGTGTTTAATATCGATTTGAATTAAATCCTTAAGATACTTTTATATTTATTATATGAATTATATTCAGCATTTGTGCGTGCGTGATGCGACTGTATTTTCATTCATTTACGTGTGTGTAGGAAAGCAGATTTTTCTAAAATTCTATTATTACTTTCAAATATATTGAATTTCGATGTGTTGATTGAACAAGCCTAATTCCCATTATATTATCGCAATTGAAAATGTTTGTTTTAATTGGCAATTTTATTAAACATTATAAAGCTCGATCTCTCGGACAATAATTACAACTATTAATATAAAATTACTTTATATAGCACCTAATTTTTAATGTACATTGATAATTGCGTAGCTTAAAGTACCTCGAGAAATTTGCAAAATAAATACTTAAAACGTTATCGGATGTCTTTCGAAAATAAACAACTTGTTTCATGTTAAATATATTAGTTCCTTTCTCTAAACGTAGCGCTGCATTTCTGATGGTGTAGATTTTTATCACATCTGGATGATTTATAGACTAGTATTACGATGTCATTATTCCGAACACTCTCATCGAGTCATGTCCTGGCGATAGCTACATCATAATTTACTACGGAAATTAAAATATTTTTTTTCCTCTTTTTTTTCTGTTTTTTTTTTTGTTTTTTTTTTTTTTTTTTTTTTTTTTTTTTTTTTGATTTTTTTTTTTTTTTTTTTGTAAAGTCTTTTAGCCTGCTTTTTTTTTCAAAATACCAGTCATATATTTTTCTCCCTTTGCTTTTTGTTTATTCTCTGTGGGAATTGGAATTATAAAGTAAAATTATTGATTATATTTAATGATGCAGCCATTATTATTATTATTATTATTATTATTATTATTATTATTATTATTATTATTATTATTATTATTATTATTATTGTTATTATTATTATCCTTTATGACAAATTCCATTCCTTAATTATTCAATGAATGTAATAACTATGTAAGCAAGTAAATCTTTTACTATAGCAAACATAATATTTAATATTAATAATCATTGGATCAATTTCAATTTTTAATAAATATTTTTCACAATTTAACATACTAATTTCACAAAACATAAAATGTGATTAGTAATTTAGAAAAATTCTCTGTATGCGAAAGCTATTTTGTGTTGAAATGAAAGAAAACTTAACACTACCACAATACCTGCCACCGCGGTTTAAATATTTGTTTTATCGCTTACAATTTATCATAATAATTTGTAATTAAAATGGCATTATGAACGCCAGCTTATGGATTTCCTCGGTATATTTCACTTTCCGATAAATAATATGTAAATTTGTCATTATTGCAAGCATATTAGTTTTCAATGGTAAAACAATTACGGGCACATCTCTCGTGAGCCATTAGCAATGGAATTGCAATTAGAGAGAAAAATCTGCAGCTTCTTCCGTAATAACGTTAAAGTCGTACCAAATGCGGAAACGGAAAGTAAATCTAAAATATATCCTCCCACTTTCACGCCGATCGCCAATCTATTTCATTCAAAAATATAAATGTCGACAATGTATTGAGCGAATATTACAATATCCACGTAGGCACGGCTAGTCGTACATAAAAAAAAATATTCTGACACCTTCTTCCTTGTCTTTGCCACTCTCGCTGAATAAGAAATATCCGCCTCGACTTAGTTTGTTGATGTAACACGTGACATAAATCTCGACTTGTTGGATTAACAACCCTCGGCATCCAGACACTTTTCAGCTTGTGATGCGTGTTATACGAGTTATGCCCAGTCGTCAATTAAATCAAAACTATCCAGGCTTACCGCATAAGAAAAGAGCTGCTTGGCGCCTCTAGGCTTCATTTGCATAAAGATTATGGACCAAATTAATACTTTCATCTCCTCAATTTTCTTGTTCTTTTCTCGCTAGTCAAGAGCAAACGAGTCAAATGGCTTTCAGGAAAATGAAGCGCTAAAAGAGTTTTGCTCATTCGAGCTTTGATCATTATCAATAGCTAATGCATGTTACGCTTATAACGAATATTATTAAATTAAATATATTAATTGATGGATAAAATAAAAGATTCGTAATAGCATTGCAATTACAAGGATCATTTATAAACGAGCTAATAATAATATGTATCCTTTAAGTTTAATTGATCTTTGAAATAGAATTATTTACGATACTTCCGAGAGCCTTCTTAGCAACTTTTTTCTATTTTTTATTTTTTTTTTTTTTTCTTTCTTTCTTTCTTTTTTCTTTTTAATAAACATTTGCCAAAGCAAATATTCCTATTCGAATCATATAAATAAATAAATACCAAATGGCCTTTTTTCTATAATTAAATTCTATAAATTAATGATAACAGCGCATTTGACAAATAATATTTTACACAATTGGGTATAAATATTTGGAATTGTTGTTCAACACTGTTACCATCGTTAA